CTGCAGGCGGTGGCGGCGGCGGTGGAGGAGAAGCTGGCGTCTGCGCATGGAGTACGGGGCTTGGTGAGTGTGGCGGGTTGGAGAGCTGCTGGCTAAAGTGCAGTGGTGGCTCTACGCTGACGCTCATGTTTGCTGCAGCGGTAGAGGCGCATGTGAAAGTGGAGAGCGGGCGTTTGACGGGCGGGAGTGCAGGTAAAGCTGGGTAAAAGTACAAATGGAGAGATGAGTGAGAGCAGATATGCACGAGGCTGCACGACAGTGGTGTGTTGCTTTTATCGGTGAGTGCAGCAGGCTAGTAGCGTTATCGCGTCGACGAGGGTGTATGGATACAATGAGCAACCGACGTGTGCTTCTGGGGATATGGCTTGCGACTGTAGAAATTGGAGTTGGAGAAGAAGGAAAGATAACCTGGGCGTGGCTGGAGCTTGACAAGGCTGCAGCCTACCAGCATGCGGCACGATTGCCAACAGAGGTACAGAGTGAGGCGGTAAAGCTACCTGGGAATCGGCTGGCCCACGCGCTGCGCTATCCCGAATCGAAGGAGCTTTGGCGTCAGCGCCTTCAACCTGGAGGCTCTGCGCCCTTTACAGCCTCTCCGACGACGCGCTTCAGCGGTTGACTCATCGCACAAGGCTGCGCGGACAAGGCGCATTCGTCGTCATCACGGAGCTCTCAGCTCCCTTATCGATTAACCTCCACAGTGACCGGCTAGGCAGTCACGCTAGAGCTTTGAGACTAGTGGGGAAGGTGGGCCCGTCCGCGCCTTCCCTGCGTCCGCTCTCCGCACCAACAACGTTGCTCCATACAGCAGTCGTCCTTACATGCCAGCCCACTTATTCCGGTCAATCAACAACATGGTCTTTATTGCACGAGCTATTGGAGTGCTGCATGGCGTATAGCGCCTGTTGTTATTGCCCTTGCGACCTTTGGACCCGTGCGAAAGTGGCCGCAACAATGAGCGGAAACACCACCGTCGCCTCTGCGTACACCTTCACGCTATCTCCGTCAAGCTTAATCTTTCCCCAGCTGACAGCTTCGTCTGGCCGTGCGCCTGCATCACTCCCATCAAATTCTTGCGCAGTGTTGATGTACACCGCGCTGTCGGCTCCATTGCGCATCAGGTTCGCATTGGCGATGTGATGCTTCACCAGTCCTCCGCCCAGGACAATCATGCCCGTCCTCTTCGCTCTCACGGCGATTGTGTTTATCCTTCTAATGTCCTCTACAATATCGACGCGCAGCTGCTCTGGTGATGACTTGAATGTGTGGAAGTACAGCATGTCGCCCAGGCTTCCGTCTGTCAGCGCTGGGCAGAAGACGGGGATGTCGTTCTTCCACGCCCAGTAGTAGACCGATCGCTCGTCGTTGATTTCCTTACCCAGACGATGGATGACCTTGCTGGGCGTCCAGTACAATGGCTCGTCCGTTTTCTTGCTCGCTTCCTGCTCCTCCAGCATCTTGTCCAGGATCGGCACTACCCAGTCCTCGAACGCGCAGTAGTTGCTGTTAGGCACGACAAGATTGCCGATGCGGTTCATGCCCTTTTGGCGCAGTCCAGCCCCGGGCGTGGAGAAAGCGCCAAGGTATGTCGGCGCGAGGCATTTGATGAAGTCCTCTTCGACGCCGCCTGCAGTCGTCACGATGGCAGAAACGTGTTTGTGCTGGACCAGGTACCGCAGCGTCTCGCGCAGGCCCGAGGATATCAGATTTGACGTGTATCCAAGGAATATCGTCGTGGGCTCCTTGGTCTCAGGGTCTCTCCATGCGCGCTGTTATCTGTTAGCAGCGAACCCAAGCTTCTCGATGCGGTGGTGGTGTCGCGTCGCCAAATCAGGCTAAATGTTTCGCCTTTCGGGACTGCGCACGGACGGGAGATTCCCGGCATACGCAAGTGCTGTCTCCGCACTTGACGCTGACACGCCGCAGCGGCGCAGCACGCGCATTCGGATATTCCGGGCAGAAGCAACTCACCATGTCGTTGATGATGCGTACAGCCTCTCCCACCGAAGTCGCCTGAAAGCCCATGTTGGCGTAGCCGCCCACCAGCTCCTCGACGGTGATGCTGCGCGACGCATACTGGTTGAAGTCGATGCCCTGCACCTCTTGCGCACCCTCAGGCACGGGCTCGGATGGCTTCAAGACTGCATCAGTGGCGCCGGTAGGGGCCGAAGAGTTGCTAGCCATGGCAGTGGGCAATCTCGGTTGGGCAGTCGCTGCAGCGGCGCTGTCGCGATGTTCTGGCGCGTCGTCGGGCTGCTCGGCGTACTCTGGACGGTTGTAACTCTCGTACCGTGCTATTTGTGAGTCGGTGCGGCGGCAGATTTTGAGGAAAAAGAAGCCCCCACACCTGGGCACCCGTGGATTGGAGCTAAGGCATGGCAGTCTAATCCCTGCTCGTGTGAGGCTAGTTCTCGGGTCGATCCAGCTAAGGAGACTGCCAGCCCTTTTGTCATCAACGTGTGGGAGGGCCACGGTGTCGCATCATCGCACAATACTCCCCCAGTCCTCCAGGCGTGCATCGTGTCCAGCATCTGCCGTGCAGCGGTGTCTGTCCGTGTTGGTGAAGGGGCCCGGGCTGGGATCGTCACCAAATCCCCTAGTGGAGCCAGGGCTGGAATCTGAAGCAAAACCAGCGGCTGCCCACCCCTGCAGATAATCGAAATGTCCAACTGCGGACCAATCAGAGGCCGGCTGTCATGTCTGGATGGATTCCCCTCGCTAGGCCGTTGCAGGCCAGCCGGGGCGTCCATTTTGACTTGCAGGCATCCGTCATGGCTGGGTGTGTCAGTGCTTCGTTCGTGTTCTGGTCTCCTCGACGTTCCCTTTCTCATCATCACACCTACCTTGCGACAACGACCCTCTCCACGACACTATGCTGCCACGGCCCAGCGGCGCACAGCCTGGCTAAAGAGCCACTCCATTCTTCGTTCCCAGCATCGACAAGGTGCTGCCTCACGTGCCCCAGGCCTCCCTCACAAAGAGACCCAGCGCCACGTCAACGGGCTGCAGAGCATCTCCAACACGGCGCCAGGCTGCCTTTGTTGACCGCTGCGCGCTTCTCACACTCTCCAGTATCTCCAGACGACTTCGCCTGACCTCCAGGGCCAGTTTGACGCGTTTACGGCACGAAACGGGCGTTTTGGGCGTAAAGGCGACAATAGCAGATCGAATCTCAGCTCCCGGCGCCGAGCAGCTGCACCTGTTCCACCACGGATCGGGGTTTGGCGCTTTCCCTAATTCCCTGGTTTCGAAGCACGGGCCTTGCCGCTAGCGCCTCGTCTACCACGGCTTGCAAACACGAACCTCGACTGACACCCTGTGGTTGACGTCAACCTGGGACACAACAATTCGCCGGCCAATCGCGCGATCACTCTTGAGATTACACACGACGGTACATCAAAGGAACCCTTTTTCTTTTCTGCACCATCCGTTTGCTACGACCACTGCACGCGATCCGGGCCTGCTCTTACGACCGAGATTTTCGATCCGCTTTGACATACGACCTTTACCTGTGCCCATGCAGCAGTCGCAAGTTCTTTGTACACTAAGAAACCACCAACATGTCTGCTTCACGGTATCCGGAGAACGGCAGATATCCCCGCGACAGATCGCCGCCCTACCGGGATCGAGATCGAAGACCATCCAACTTTAGTAGCGGTTACCCCCCAAGGGGTAACGAAACTTTTAGGCCAAATGCAGAGCCTGGCGGCTTCTCAAGAGAAGTTCCGAAAGGTCCAAAATCTCTTTCCGATGCGCCACGTGGCCCACCAGTGGGTCCACCATCAAGTGCATCTGCAGCACCACGCGATGATAGAAGCCGAGGATTTGCTGGCCGAGGTGAAGCTACACCACTACGTACTGCGCCGCCATTAAGCAGTGGTCCTGGGTTTCCGCACAACTCTCAAAATTCCTGGAGGGCAGATCGTGACCGAGACCGCGACTTTGATCGGCGCGAGCGACGGCCGACTCCACCAAGGCGCTCACCTATCCGGGACTCAAGAGATCCGCGCGATCAGAGAGACTTTGTACCGCGGGATTTGGATGTCAATCGCGCACGACGAAACTCACGAGACGGCCCCCCTTCCGCTGGTTCCACCTACTCTGACCCCCCACTCCCCGGTACAGCTTCATCGTATCGTGGCGGAGGCATTGGCCGAGGACGAGGCGGATTTTCTGGGCGCGGTCGAAACTTCCACAACGATGACCGGGAAAGACACCACGACTCACGTGATCGCATTCCGGAACGGACATATCGGCCACGGAGTCGGACACCCCCAAGGCGCCAGGAGCGAGACATTCGGGAAGATCGCGATTTCGATAGGAGAGAACGTGACGATCGAAGGTTCCCCAGAGAGTACGACTCCTACATCGGCCCAGCAGGTGCTGCGAAACCAGGACTACGGGCGTTGGACACACACCGGGGTCCGGGCCCTTCTGATCTGAGGCATCTACCTGGTACGCCTACGGGGCCAACCCCGCACTCATCTCACCATGCCTCTCCGTCCGACAGGCTAGGGCCTCAGGGAGATACTTACTCAAGACGATCTTCTGTTGCTATCGATCCTCTCTCTGCCAAGGATCCTCGGCGGGAGCCAGGGAAAGACGAGGCTCTCCTGGCCAGCCGCGCTGAAGCATCCAGGGAGAGGTACGCTCCGCGTGCTTCATCGCCTCCTGCTTCCATTCCAGCCTTCGGTGGGTCCAATGTTTGGAGGGCGCCCATCTCTGACAACAAGCCAAGCGCTGCGACAGTAGCACCACCGAAGCCTGCTCAGCCTACTCCTGCTTCTACTACTAACACCTCTGTTGGTCCTGCCACACCTGCTGCTCCTGTTACTCCTGTGAAGGCGGCAGTAATCCCGACTGCACCAAAGGCAACCATTCCCCCAGGCCTCTCGACACTACCACCCACTGGGCCAAAAGCTGATCGGGCGCCGGATCGTCCGCTGCTTGGAGATGTACCAAAGCAAGAGAGCAGAGTGTCCCATCCGGCTCCAACACGTATGGAACCACCTTCTATCCCTCCTACTGTTGTCCCATCTCAGGCCACTGATGTACCAGGCTCAGACAATGTGACTGCCAAGGTCCCGATCTCGCCCCAAATGGCTGCGCCCCCTAAAGTTCCCACCATGGCACCATCAGCTCCACTAACCGCTCCTACTGCGCCATCAGGTGTTGCGAAGTCGCCTCCACAAGGCCCTGCTGCACGACCGCGTGCACCACCCACAGCTCCTCAAGCGGCACGAGTCAACGTTTCTCCATCGTTCTCAAGGGCAACTCTACCACAGTACACTCCTCGAGATGCATCTCCCAGTGCGAATCCTTCAGGGTTTGGTCCGCGTAATGGTGGCGGAGGAGGCTCTACGATCAACACGTCCCCGCAAAGCTTACCAGCGAATATACCTACGGGCCCCAAAGCTGACCGCACTCCGATGGCTCCTAGGCCGCTTTCATCCTATCCGCAATCGGACAGGCCGGGCTTTCCTCCCGCTAGAGGCCCATTGAGCGGCGGTCCCAAGAGCATGCAATGGGTACGGCCTGGATTTAATTCGAGCCGACCGTCGGTGCCAACCAAGCGCGAATTCCCGGCTGAGGATCGTGAACGACCGTTCGGTACTGCCCCTAAAGCCCCTCGACTCGAGCATAGCGTCTCTGCTGCACAGATCCAGCGTAATTCGCAAGCAAAATCAGTATCGCCATCATTTTCACGCATTCAAACCGACATCGAAAGACCGAGAGAACGTGCGGTATCCGCAGAGCGTCCTGTGGTTCCCCCACCTAAACCTACTCCGATCGAGACTAGGCGACACTCTGATGTCGTCATGGCAGAAGCGTCACCTCGAATGGCCAAGCCACCCATGTCGGCTGCGTCGTCCGCCCCGGAAGCTCTGCAAGACTCTGACGATGACCTTGATCTTGACGAGGATGACTTCGCTGAGTCTGAGGCGAAATACAACCGAGAGCGAGCACGTCTAGAGGCCAAACGGGTCGATTTGAGTGCTCCGCATTTGCGCGCTACAACTCCCTTGCAAGAAATTGTTCTGCTGTCATGCCTCAATGTCGAGCATCTCCCTCAGACACAGCCAGATGTGGTGTCCGTCGAAGAGACAAGCACACCCTTTCCCCAGGAGCAGGAAGAGTCACATCTTTCACCTGTGCAAGCACGTCCTATGGAACCAACCACTACTCAACCCGCTCCAGAGAGTATCACGGCAGATCTACCGACACCTAAGGCGGAAGAGTCCGAGGATGTCGAGATGGAAGACAAAGAGGAGACTGAAGAGAGGTCGGCTGCACCCGCAACGATGGCGCTTCGCCTACGACGTGAAACCTCTGCAGAGCAGGAAACCTTACCCGACCTCAGTTTGTTGCCCTATCTAGGCTCAGGCCCACCAACGCCTCTATCGGACATTGGGCAAGACCGACCAAACCTATCTGACGATATCATGAACGCCATTCGAAGCAAACTACGCAAGAGCATCGAGCCTGAGCTTAACACTGATCAGATTCTCGAACGATACGCAGCTGCGTATAGAGCGTGGCGTGTGTCCATCCGTCCCTTGGACGAAGAGCGCGATCAAGATGATCAGGATAGACAGCCGTCAGCCGAACCAACAATGAAGGCCGTCACTCCCGATGTACAAAATGCTGCGATGACAGGGATTCTGGATGGGTCGCTCGCTCCTACAGGCCGGAGGAGCCACGCGAGTCGATGGGCTACTGAGCTTGATCTGGAAGCTGTCATCAAAGAGTCTTTGAAGACCGCCGAAGAGGAAAAGCTAGGGAAGAAAGACAAAGAGCCACGCAAAGCCATGGCTGATCCGGAGAAGGAGGCCGATCTACCATTGGAACTTACCGAGGCAGAGGCTCAGCGCAGAAGATTCATCGACACTAACTTCCAACGCGAACCCGGTCAAGGAATCTTTGTGTTTCACTATGAGCCGCCAGAGGATGACTTCACCCCCGAGGAACACAGGGTCATGGTACACAACTACAAGGATCAATACGCAAAGAAGTGGGGTAAGCTGGCCGAAGTTCTTTACAAAGAAGTTGGAACCGAACGTACCTACAAGGATTGTATCAATCATTACTATGCTACCAAATGGGGCAGAGAATACAAGGGTAAACTCCGCAAAGCTCGGGCTCCCAGGAAGCGTGGTGGAGCCGTTGGTCGTGGTCGTGGAGCTATCGCCAACATGGACCGACCCGAAGGACCAGGAGAGGACGGTTTGCCCTTACCAGTCACTGAGACTGGGCGACCTCGACGCCATGCGGCACCCAAATTTGGCCCAACCGAAACTGAGTTCGACCCGATCACAGGAATGCCCATACCAGGCCGAGCACGCAGGCAAACCGACGCCGACGACACGCAAGAAAAGGCCATGCGGCGTGGAAAACCGGCGAAGGACAAGGTTGGCCGGAAGGCGAAGAATACGCCACTCGCGGCCGTTCCTATGGGCTCACCTGTCAAGGTCGATCGCAAGGACAAGAACATGGGAGTCAAGATGGAGGACGACCTTGGCAAGCGGCCCATGAATGACATGCCAATACCCATGCCACTTATCCCTATGGAGGATCAGATGATGCTGGCCGGAGATTTGCAGCAGCTTTCTGGCCTGCCTGGCAGTCTTATGGATCGACCGAAGACACAGGCTGGTGCAAGACCTGGCCCATCTAGCTACTGGTCCGTCTCCGAGTTACAAGACTTCGATAAGAATGTTGCACACTTTGGCACGGACTGGATTGCAATTGCCAACCATATGGGCACCAAGACGCACACTATGATCAAGAACCAGTATCTACGTCTTGTCGAAAGTGGCAAACTAGACTTGGAGCAGACAGCAAAAGAGGCAGATGCTCGAAGGGAACGAGGTGATGATCTAGGTCCACCGCCAACACCGACTCCAGCACCCAAGAGACGATACGAGAGCACACAAGCGGGACCTATCCGCCCCATCGCACCTACGCCTGAACATGGGTCTCCGCCTCCGAACCCGCTTGTGCACCCAAAATTATCTCCTCCGCATTCAACCCCTTCTTCGAGATTCTCCACTATCGCCCAAGCACCTGTGCAGAGCAAGCCCATGGTGCCTCCACCCGGATATTCTGCCCTACCAGAGACTAGCCTGGCGTCTGTACCCTCGATACCACCACAGCAGTCGCCGCCCGCTCCCCCTCAGCGTGCACCACCGCAGCATCATCACCAACACTCCATGTCGCAGCATAAGTCGCAGCCGCAAGGGCCACGAGCTGGATACTTCTCCGAAGACCTACCCCCACGTTTCGAGTCCCGGCCACCTTCACAACCTGCAGGCAACCAACAGGCACACCGGCCATTGCAACAACATGCGCCTCCGCAGCCTCGCGTTCAAGAGCAACACCACTCGCCTCTCTATCGTGGACTTCACTTTCAGGAGCGAGACGTTGCAGGTAGACCTGAAGTTCAGCAGGAGCAGGAGGCTCAGCGCCGGTTCCATGAGCACACCCGTCGCATCTCACAGGAGATGTCACAGCATAGACCGTTTGCTCCCGGTGGTGCACCGCCGATCATGCCGCCAGTACGTTCGAACTCTGGGCTGAGATCACCAGAACATCGTCCGTTGCCGTTCTCGCACTCTCGACACTCATCGCAAGCGCAATCGCTCAGCCAAACAGTGGCCGATGTGTATTCTCCGAGTCATAGTACTAGCCACAGTGCGCAACAGCTGCCGCCACGGTCGACCATTCTTACACCGCCTGTCAAAGAAGAGCCTAGGAATCCTCCTCCAGTTAGCCTTCCCCCAGCTCAACCCCAAGCGATGCTTCACACTCAATTACAGCATCCTCAGCGCGGCCCACCACCTATGCAAAACACACCTCCACCTGCAGTAACAAAGCCGGCTGTCGAACCACGCAAGTCTAACTTGATGTCCTTACTGAATGACACCGATCCCGAGGAGCCCAGACGTAAGAAGCCAAGCGAACAAGGTCCGCCATCGCATACCTCTACACCTCTGCAATCAGCACCAATCGCGCCTCCTCCTCCCACGACGCAAAGCTACTCGTCATCGTCAAGACGTCCGCTCTATGAAGATTCTATGGCTGCTCAATCTCCGTATACCCGTCCAGCCTCGTATGCTCAGCAGTCTTCACTTGCAAACGCAACGTCAAACAGGCCAATTGACTTGACTGAGGACAAGCCATCAGTAAGTAGGCCAAGTCTGCGCGATACTTGGCAAGCCCAGCAGCCGTTCCACCGAGGATTGTCTCAGACTCCACAGATCACGTCGCTTTCTTCAACACCGACCGGCCTGCCTCAGCCGCCCAATGTCAACGATAGGATGTTCAGCAATCATCGTTCTGTCTTCTCCCAGCATAACACTCCGCGTCAAAATCCGACACCGCCACCTCTTGCCGGCTTCAACAACTCTCCAAATCCGCATTCGCGCACGTCGAGCATAAGTGGGCCGCCTGGGTCGTTGCCCCGACATGGTGTTCCGAGCACCACTGCAGCACAGCATGCGCAAGCACTGAGTGCATCATCGCAGATTCTGCAGCCGAACCCATACGCCCAAGTTGATCCGCCGGGCAGTGGTGTCCCGCCACCTGGACCTATGGGGATGCGGCCCAGTCCGCACCTGTCGACAAGCCACATAGCACAGCAGCAGAGGGACTCATCCGGACGCAACGATCATTCGCAGGCCTCAAACGCAAACCTATCGTACTCGAACCCACAAACGCCCAACGAGCATCCAGCCCACCCTTTTCAAGGGTTGAGTAGACTGACGGAGCCTTATCGTCCTCGCGATCCTCGTGAGGCCCACGATTTTGATCCTCGTCACTCGGATCGCGACACCAGCCGTGAGTTGTCTCAAAGGGCCGATTTTCTACGTGAACAGCTTTCCAACCCCACGCTACGTGCGCCAGGTCCTCCAATGCACGAAGATCTGCGATACCAACCCCAAGATCGGGGATACCTCTCGCAACGCTCACAGACTCCGCTTTCTAGGCCGGAGCACGGCCAGCCTCCACCTTTGCAGCATCCTCCGCACTCGTCTCTCGGAGTAGCGAACCACTCTCTTTATGGCCAGCGCCCTCCCGAGGAACCACAACATCACTTCATGCGCAACCCTCGTGATCGCAGCATGACGGACCGTATCCGCGAGGAGCAAGCCCAAGCTCAAGCTCAACACCAGGCAGCGATGAATCGAGAAGAGCATATGCGAAGAGAGGCTGAACAAAACTCAAGAGAACGTGAGATGCGCGAACGAGATGCACGAGATGCGCACTACAGGGACAGCATCATGCGAGGAAGACAAGATATGAGGGGTCCACCGCCGCCACAACCCAGTTCAGGGCCAGGATCAATCCACGACCCTCGGCCACCTACAGGACCTATGGACTGGACGAGCGGTGTAAGGCATCCGCAGGACCGTGGTCCATGGCAACGCTAGGGGGCCAGCTCGATTGACGTTTCGGATATTACATGCTCTACGCATATGATTTCTTTTGTGTCTCAGTAGATAGCTTCAGCGTTCCCGGCGTCATGTTTCTTGACGCCTTACTTGTTCATGTTTAAGAGAAAGGATGACAGTCATGCCGCGCGGTAGTCTTGCCTTTGGCGTTGGGTGGTGCTTGTCCTGCCTGTTTAGTTTTTGTTATACCTGAGCGAGTGGTTTGGAAGAGCAGAAAGAGATGGCTTTTGCACCTTTCTTGTAGAAACTTGTAGTGTATTATACGTAGCTGTCGAGCTAATTGCGAAATGTTCTGAATGAACTTGACTGTTCTAATTGGGTGCTGCTGGTGAAGTGAGATTATCCCGTGCTTAAGGCTGAGTAGGACGCTTTACACCAAAGCCCAGGTCAAGACATGTGAACAGCAGTGGGATGATACGAGGCGTGCACTCTTCTGGACACGTAGCTGCACTGCAATCTGTAGCGCAGATGGGTAGACGTCTTTTCGATCGCCCTCCGTGGGAACAGAACAATAGAGATTGAACGCTACTGTGCTGACGACATACGCCACTTCGCCCTTGGCCTATCTTCTCAATGTTGGTAAAAGTAGGCAACAAGCCAAGAATAGGCGAACCAGTGCAATTCCTAGCGCAGAAGAGAAGCTCTTGAGTCTCCACAATGACGAACATCTCGCACGATTAGTCGTTACTCACGCCTGCATCAGCCTCAACGCCGATAAGCCTCCGCAACGAAGCCATCCCACTCCCCCTTGAGATCATCCTCCAAACTTCCGCCAGAAACCCTCATACCCTCAAACGCCAACGATCCAACACCCGGGACCTCATACAAACACCCCTCCATCGATCCATCACCAGAGAACGTCATATAACCCGTACACTTGCGACCAAACGTCAGCCGTCCACTCTCCAGATCGCGAAGACGCCAGCCAAGCGAGCAGGGTTGGCCTAAACTATCGGAGTCGCCAGGGCCAGGGTTCATCTGGATGATTCCGTCCCAGGCGCCCCAGCGGAATGTCGCCCACCAGATACCACGGGAGGGATCGCGGGCGAGTGTAAGGTCGAAGTTATAGTCGTTGAAGATGGAGCTGGCGGTTTCGCAGGAGATGGAGTAGGTACCGCTGAGGAGGAGGGGTGGCGAGGGTTGGTAGTAGTTCGGGTATGGGTCGGACTTGATGTGGGGTGATGGGTACATTCGGTCGGGGCTAGGCTGGTACTGCTTGATGCGGGACCTTGAGGGAGTTGATGGTGGCGCAGAGACGCGGCTCTCTTGCTTGATGTTGGGAACAGATCGCTTGGCGGTCGGTTCCTTCTTGACGAGTGTTTTCTTTGGCGCTGGCTCTTTCTTGACTCTCGCAAATTTCTGCGGTGTCGCTACCGGGCTAGAGACGTGACTACCAGCGCGCTTGCGTTTGGCTGGTGCTGGCTTCCTTGGGGTGTTGTTGCTCGCCTGTTGCGCGTCCATATACTGGCCAAGCGATGCTCCTCCTAGCGCCAAATTGACTTCGAGATAGGATTAGCAGCGTCAGAAATCAGGGGTCTTTAAGCCTACCAGTGACGTTGACACTGCCATTTACACCCTGAGAGCTTCCAAGACCTGGCTTGCTAGTAGCGCTCGACTTAGGCGCCTGCTTGCTCACTGCACTACCACTCTTCTTTAACTTCCGATTCTCCGCCTCCCATTCAGCCTTCAGTTCGCTCTCGACCTTCAAAACCCATGCTGGTACCTCAAGTTTGAACTGATTCATAGCATTCAGGAGTCGCACTTTCGCCGCATTCTTGTCCTTGGTGACCGGTAGTCCATAGTGAATGAGTTGGGCGGAGTAGAAATGCCACACCTGGTCTTTCGCTGGTGTCGCGACTTCAGGCTTTCGACCCTTGCTGTAGAGATTAGGGGCTTCCGGGCGGAGGAGAGCCGCAAGTTCGGCGACACTCGCGCGTCCGTGGTGGTTTCCGTTGCCAGGGTCTGCGTAGAGGACGGATGAGTAGACGAAGTCGCCACGGCGGGCTGGAGGGGCGAATGTCGCCATGTATCTTGAAGTGATGGGTATCGAGATGGGCTACAATTTATCCAGCAAGTATCCGCGAAGAAGTGTTGCAGAGTGGTAGAGCGGGTTGCGTGGGCGGACGGTAGGCTACCAACGAAGCTTGAGTCCGTGCATGGTCAGAGGAACATCTAAGGTTCACTCTTCTACACCCAAAGTTTCCTCGGCGCTTTCAAATCCCGAGGACTGTATGTCTTCTTCTAGCTTGACCCTGATCTGTTCCTCGGCTTTCGCCTTTTCTCTCTTTTTCTTTGTTTCCGGAGTTCCGTATTCTTTATCGAGATCAGAAATGAGATTAAATATATTGCGCAGAAAGTTGGTGTAGAACTGGGTGTCAAAGGCTTGATGTCGTCGACACAGAATCTTCTCCCAATCGTTCTGGTGCTCATGAAATGCGCAACTATCCTTTACATCGTCATACAAACGCTCACGTAGATGTGGATCTTTTGGTTGGGAGGCTATAATCCACATCACTTCGGCAAGCCAATCATGAGAGAAGCATTTTCTGATGTCTGCTGCAGTCGTGGTGTTCAACGGATAACCGACGAAGACAAAGGCCATCCACTTTAGCAAAAAGATTCGGAACGGCGAATTCGAGAGCAAAGATTTGTCCAAGGCGTCTCTGTCGATCTTCTGACACAGAATACCCGTGGGTCTTTCAAGGTCAACCATCAAGGTCATAATGTCCTGCCTCAACAGCGGCACGTCATAAACTTCTGCAAAAACATACAAGCGGAGGAATACGTCGCCGTAGAAAGCTGAAATAGCTGTTTCCTGGCGGTAATCTGTGATGCTATTAGCATGTAAAGGGCAGCAGCAAGTAGCGCAGTAATGTACTTCTCGGAACCAGCCAGTCAGGGTTGCTGTTAGGCATCCTATACCTCGCATTCTCCGTCTCCGTAGTGTCGATCGGGGTAGAGTTCTCATGCCGTGTGGCCTGCGCGTATAGCCAATCCTGGTACAGGCGGAATATGTCTGCCCTGGTATCAGGCAAACTTATTGACCACACCTCTGTTTCGAGGAGGGGACCCCCAAATGCTTTGCGAAAATACCCTGAGTAGAAACATGCGATATCTTTGTGAACTGTGACGACAATGTCATCAAGATCAAGGCGAACAGTGACGTGCGCTTGGCTTATCGTGCTATCGGTACGGATCAGTTTGGTTGACCAATTGAGAGGTCAATAGTTATGATTCGGGTTAGAGCTTGCTGGATTTGATGAGACTCACGAGAATGTCGGACGTTTGGACTTGTGGCTGGTCAGTTGGGCTTCGGCTGGTCTCTTAGCAGCATTTTCCATGGTTATTATGGTGACTTTGAAAAGGGCCAGCGAATTGATCCGGTCTCGCTCGCGAGTTTTGGGGAGAGATATGGGGATTGAGCTGTGACTGAAGGGATAGTTTGGATACAGGTGCTGATGTTACGAGCTGAACAGAGATTGCGTGCCTCGGGGGCACCTCGGAAAGTGTTGAAGCTTGACGCGTGCGACTATTTGAGACTAGCGCAACTTTGACGCGTCTTCGGCCCTGTTGCCATGACTTCGCATGCGATGTCTGTTCTAGTATTGATCATGAATAGAAAGTTAACGCATTGCAGCTCGGTAGTCGTTCAGATCGGTGTCAACACCCGTGTATGGATTTGTCAAGGTCTCGACCCATATACCCAGGTAAGAGCAGGCCTATGGATACGGATTGACGCGTGAATTAACGACAGTCTCAGCTCAACCACCGTGGAGCAAGATCTCATAGTCATCGTATGCTTCCAAATCTTCCCAATTGCTTACGGGTGGCTCCGTTTGTGATCTACCATCCACTCCTCGGGGAATTGTGAATGAAAAGGTCGAATCTGATGGCAGTCCAACACCCGCCGAGAAGGGCATCGCCTTATCCTCTTTCTTTTCCAATATGCCAGGCTCATACTTTGGGTTTTCCTCCGTCTGCGCGTGTGACTTTGACTCCAGCATCGCATCCTCCATATCGTAAACCTCGCTCATGCATGCTCGCAGAAAGCTAGAGAACCAGAGTCCTTCTTTCTGTTGTCTCATTTTGCAGACCGCAATCGCTTCTTTATCACCCTTATGCTCGTGGAAGTTGCAAGAGTCACATAACTCTTCCTGAAGCTTTCGTTTGGTCGAAATGCCTTTCATAGGCATAGCGACCAACAACACATCGATTAAGAACGACTTGGGATAGCTTTCCCAACTGTGTTTAGATGCCCCTCCGGAATATACTGCGCGTTTCATGACAGCGTATCGGCAAAGGGGGGAAGTAGAGGGTAGGTTACGGTATAATCTCTGGATGAATGTACTTGTCAACATGTCTACACAACCATTATTGTAGCTGTTGTAGGTTACAAGCTCGACTAACAATGTCATCACGTCATTCCGTAGCTGTGGTGTATCATGGTAGTCGGCAAAAAGGTACAGGCTAACGAGCGTTTCCAGATACATGTGGCGCTTTCTGAATAGGAATTCTTGTCGAGTCAGCGTCTGTCAGATCTGTTCGACGGCGTATCTCACCTTCTGTTGCTACCCAGTCGGCGGCTTTCGACCAAGGTTTTGGCGGCGCCGACACAGGAGCAGTAGGTTCCTCGTCGGCTATTCAGTCGTCAGTTCTAGCTGATCACATCGGGAAATTCGCATTTTAAACTGATGTACCTTTTCCATCTTTCGCCGAGTCACTCTTGGGAATGCTTTGGTTACCAACGCAGTCTACTGACCAGACAGTGGACCGTCCATATAGCCAAAATTGGAATAGCCTCATTGTCGAGGCTGGTACATTCCCAATAGAAATGGATTTGTCTTCAGACTCGCGGAATTCAGATTTGAAGGCCGCGGCAAAGTAAGGCGATTGAGAGCATAGTGACTCCCTATGCAGCATGTATGTCTGCGGACCCTCATCATCGTCATCACCATCAATGTTGATCGTAACGAAGGTCT